GAAGGCCACCTTACTGGGATCTGCTCGCATAATCCGCCAATACATCACACAGTCCTAAACACTTGGGAAGTATTTGACTAGTGATTTATGATACAAAACCCAGCATAGTTATCTCGTTTGCTGTGTATACTGTCATTTTTGTGTAGAATAATAATAATAATAATAATAATAATAATAATAATAATAATAATAATAATACAATATATAGGAATTTGTTTTAATGGAGCTTAGGGTGGTTGGTGTGCAGAAGTGTGACAAACGAGAGAGCCACGTATAGTTAGTCCTCAACTTACAACCATTCATTTAAACCAGAGATCTCCAAACTTGGCCAACTTTAAGACTTATGTACTTCAACTCCCAGAATTCCATGCTGGCTAGGGAATTCTGGGAGTTGTAGTCCACAAGTCTTAAAGTTGGCCAAGTTTGGAGATCTCTGATTTAAATGACCGTTCAAAGTTAACAACAGTGAGGACAATTAAGTAGCGGAAGAGCTTTGCCTTCAGAAGCTATGGGTGTTTCATTACTGGAGGATTTTAAGAAGAGATTGGACAATCACTTGTCTGAAATGGTATAGGGTTTCCTGCTGGAGCAAGGGGGCTGGACTAGAAGACCCCAAGGTCCCTCCCAGCTGTATTCTAATTGATTACTGAAAAAAAGTAACTTATGGCCACTTTTGGCTTATAAAAGTGGCTTATTCACACTTGCAACCATTTCAGCGGCCACATGGTCCCATGATCAAAAATTGGATGCTTGGCAACTGGCGATTGCAGTGTCCCCTGGTCATGTTTGTGACCTTCTCACAAGCAGAGTCAATGGGGAAGCCAAATTCACTAAATAGAATAGAATAGAGTGGAGTGGAGTGGAATGGAATGGAATAGAGAGTTGGAAGGGACCTTGGAGGTCTTCTAGTCCAGCCCCCTACTTAGGCAGGAAACCCGACACCACTTCAGACAAATGGTTATCCGATCCCTTAACAGCCCATGTTATTAACAACTGCAGGGATTCCCTTAACAATTGTGGCAAGAAAGGTCATAAAATGGAATAAAATTCACTTTAATTATCTCACTTAGCAACAGAAATGTTGGGCTCAATTGTGGTCATAAGTCGAGGACTGCCAGGATATACTGGCCAGCATCCTCTTTACCTTGGAATTGCTTGATGGCACTCTTCAGAAAGATGTTATCATCCCATATTTTCCACATTTCCCATTGATTGTTAGGAGGGAAAAACCTGCGATGTTGCTGAATCTCCTTCTTTTTACACCTAATAGGAAACGGGATATTAATTCATTTTCTTTCTTTGTTTTGTTTCATTTATTTATTTATACTTATCAAGAATATCCATAGAGTAAAGAGCTATAAGGGTAAAAAAAGAACAGGGCAAGTGCAAGAAATGAAAAACCAAAAAGTAAGAAATATATACATGATTTCCAATCTTCCCTCCATAAATATTTTAGAAATCCCTTCGCCGTCCCTTCATTTAATGCATATTTTTAGTCATTTTCAAATCCAAGAATAATCTATTCATTTTGATCTTCTTTTTAGTATAAGGTTTTTTCCAGTCTTCCAAAAAAGTTTTCGTTGTTCATACTTTAACCAAACAAATCAATTTTGCCTTTTCAGCAAACTCTTTAATTTTCACCATCCATTCTTCCATTGTGGGAATTTTATAATTCTTCCACTGTTGTGCATACAATAAATTTGCTGTGGTTACCATATAGAATATCAATCTTCCATTAGTATTTTTCAATTCCGAGAACAGATAATCAGAGTTGGAAGAGACCTTGTAGGTCATCTAGTCCAAGCCTCCACCCAAGCAGGAGACCCTGCACCATTTCTGACAAATGGCAGTCCAATCTCTTCTTGAAAATTCGGTGTCCAGAACTCCCAATAAAATGAGTCCTGATTTCTCCGAACATTAATCTTTAAAATCCTTTGCATCATTGTCTGTGGAGATTCTGTTGAGAGAGGGCTGTTCAGTTTTGACATAGATTTTTCAAGAAGTAACTGGACTTTCTGTTAGTTTATTCTTTAAGACATTTCACTTCTCATCCAAGAAGCTTCTTCGGTTCTGACTGGATGTTGGGGAATGGAAGGATTTATACACCTTGCAGAAAGCTGGCTATTTGCGTTCTTTTAGTGCACGGGTGTCAAACTTATGGCTGTCACGTGACATATTGCGATGTTTTTCCCCCCTTCACGGAGCTGGGGTGGGCATGGCCTGCAAGTCACGCATCTGGCCCACGGGCTGCCAGTTTGCCACCCCTGTTTTAGTGAGCTAAAGCCACCTGGAGGTTTATCTGTGTCCTCAGGGTCACCTGAATGGTGCCAATGGGTGTGGAGCAGTGGGTGGGATTCAAATTTTTGTACTACAGGTTCTGTGGGCATGGCTCGGTAGGCATGGCAGCGGAAGGATACTGTAAATTCTCCAGCCAGAGGTAGGATTTGCCAGTTCTCCGAACTACTCAAAATGTCTGCTACCGGTTCTCCAGAACTGGTCAGAACCTGCTGAATACCACCTCTGGTGTGGAGCCTTCTTGGAATTGCTAAAAGGACAGTGTTGTAGACCAGAGATAGATGACATTGTATCTCTCCCCTTCTGTTGAGAGAGGGCTGTTCAATTTTGACCATAGATGGCCTCTTTATCCCCTCTTCCAAACCAGCGGTCCTCTCTGTCCAAAATGATGACTTTGCTGTTTTCAAAAGAGTGGCCTTTGTCTTTTATTAAATGCGGATGGACTGATGAATCTAGTCCTGATGGGTTTCTATTCCTATGTTGTGCCATGCATTTATGAAGTGGCTGTTTTGTTTCCCCACTGTACAGATCTGCTCGTGGCTCACTGCATTGTATTGCATTGGACAAAGAGGCCATTTGTGACACCTGTTACACAATTCCCAGACAATTCTGAAGTCCTAACCCACGATTCATCTTTACCGTCTCTAGTGATACAATACTTTATGTGTAATTTTTATTTATTACGTCAGAATTATATACTACATTTATGTTCCACGAGTCTTCAAGATAGGACACTGCTTCTCAACAGGGAAAAGTCCAGATAAGAGGACTTCAATTCCCAGAATTCTCAGCAAGGGCCGAAGATTCTGGGAGTGGAAACTCACATGTTTGGAAGTGGCCTGGTTGGAAAGCAGTATTCTAGAACAAGGGTCCCCAACCTTGGCAACTTCAAGACTTGTGGAC